GACTGAAAGTTTCATCATAATCTTCTCCATATTTTTGAGAGAACCCTCGAGCAACCAACCTTGCCTTAAATCTGTCAATGCTCCCATCCGTTTTTCGCTTAATTCGGTACACCCATTTACAAGAAACGGGTTGGACATCCTTGGGTTTTGGAACCAAATCCCAAGTTTCGTTCTTCATGAGAGCATTCATCTCCTCCTTCATTGTGCCCTCCCACTCTTGAACTCCTTTTGCTTCATCATACGATGATGGCTCCTCCTCATCTAATGGAGCTGCAAAGTAGCATGAGTAAGTAGTGACAAACCTTTCATCTCTGAACCGAGCAGGCTTAACAATGTTCCTTTTTGGCCGTTGATTAGCCATGGAACTACGATCTTCTTCCTCATCTTCCTCTTGATCAGTGCTCCCCCTTTCACCTTGTGTCTCTTCTTCAAGACTTCCGCTTTCACTTAGCATTTGAACAACTGGTTCATCGATCTTAGAGGAACCCCCACCTTCTTGTTCGACCAAGACTTGAGGTGGCCCATAAAATGTGAAACCTTCATCAAAGACAACATCACGAGACACGGTGTACTTGTGTGTCTCTGGATCCATACACCTCCAGCCCTTCCTTTGTTCATCATAGCCGACAAAGATGCATTTCTTCGCCTTTGCCTCCAACTTGGTTCTTTGAGATTCAAACACGTGGATGTAGCAGATTGATCCAAATATCCTGAGATGTTTCACCGTTGGCTTCTTCCCATGAACCATCTCATAAGGAGACTTCATATTGTTCGGACTAAGTGGCATCCGGTTGATGACATACGCTGTACATCTCATGCCTTCCGCCCATAAGGCCTTAGGCAAATTTTTGTCATGTAACCAGCTTCTACATGTCTCGCTTAGATGTCTTATCTTCCTTTTCGCTACTCCATTTTGCTGAGGTGTATACGGACATGTAAATTCTCTCTTGATACCATATTTTTGGCAAAAAGAGAGAAACTCCTTTGACATGAACTCCCCTCCATTATCCGTCCTTAAAGTCTTGATCTTCTGACCTAATTCTCCCTCCACGGTAACCTTGAATTCTTGAAACTTGGAGAATACTTCTGATTTTTCCTTCACAAAGTATACCCAAGTGTACCGTGAGAAGTCATCAACAAACAGTAACATGTACCGAAACCCAGAATAGGAGGATGTTCTCGTCGGACCCATCAAATCACTATGGACCCTCTCCAACGGAGCGCTGCATCGTGAAGTGGAGTTGTCAAATGGAAGCCTATGTGACTTTCCATATTGACAGCCTTCACAAAGCTTTCCTTCATCATGAATCTTCAACTTTGGGAGCCCGTTAACCAAATCCTTATTTACTATAACCTTTAGCTTAGTCATATTTATATGACCAAGTCTAGCATGTCATATAAAGGCATTATCATTCGTACTCATCTTCTCAACAAAAGAATTTGAGGCCGATAAAACATATAAATCCTTAACCCGTGCTCTGGTGTGAACCACGTCCGCTTTTAATTCTTTAATATTCTTTAAGAATTTAACGTCTCTTGGGCCAAATAAAACGTAGTTACCTGAGTCAACCGCATTCACCACAGAGAGAAGATTCTTCCTTACTCCAGGAACATGATATACGTTCTTGAGAGTGATTGGGCTTCCATCATCTCCTTCAATAACGACTGTCCCTTCCTTCTCAACGCGGTGGATTGAATTATCCGCAGTAATGATGGCTTCTTTCCCGTCATGACGCTGAAGACTAGAAAATAACTTCTCGTCTCCGGTAATATGATGGCTACAACCAGAATCCACAATCCAATCATTTCCAAGATTTTTAGTTGTGGATGTACCTGAAGATGCACCTCCACCGTGAAACATTTTCCCCATTCTTCGTATTCAGTATGACCCTTTGATTCCGTCATATTTGTTTCCTTCAGCTTGACTCGACAATCCTTTTTGAAATGCCCAAGTTTTCCACACCGATAACACTTGAATCGCTTCTTGTCTCCCGTAGAAGATCCTTCTCGTCCATCATTATTCTTCACATTACCATATTTGGGTTTGGCTCTGAAGCTTTGTTGTCTCCCCGCTACAAAAGCGCTCCCCGAGTCATCATGGACTTTAACTCCCGCCATTTGCATGGCTAGTGATTCTTGCGAAGCTAGTAAATTTTCAAACTCCTCCAAGGAAGGTTGTGTAGCCCATCCTTGAACTGAAGTAACAAACGGTGTATATTCGGGTCGTAGACCACGAATAATAGACCGCTTCAACCGTGCTTCCGAAATCGACTCCTCCGGATTTAGAGTATTAATCTCAGAGCAAAGATTTTTTACCTTGATGAAAAACTCTGAGATTGAAGACTCCCCCTGCTTCGCATTCGCCAACTCGTTCTCTAACAGTTGTAGACGAGCCTCGTTCTTCTTGTTGAACAATTGATCTAGTGCCTGCCAAATAGCACTTGCGGATGTACATCTTGAGACATGCTCAAATAGTCCTGAAGATATTGACCTCTTCAAAGCAAACTCCGCCTTGGCATTCTTCCGTGTCCACTCCTTTGTCGCTTCCGCTGTTGCAGCATCTCCCCTTGGTGGTGTTGTGCTGCTACCGCCGACGACATCCCATAAGTCCTCACTAACCAAGTATGACTCCATACATGACTTCCATAACCGGTAGTTAGATTGGTTTAAGATCTCCATTCCCAATCCAACGACACGACCCATTGATTCCATACTTAAGAGTAAACCAGAGCTCTCTTTAAACCCCGATCTTGAAGAGCACAAGATTAGAATGGCTCTGATACCATGTAAAGATAACACCGATAGTGCTTAGCACTAGCCCAAGACCGTAATACCCGAGAAATCCGAAAGAAACCAAGAGAATAAACCTCTAAGTATGAAGAAGAATATGAAGAACACTTAGAGAACACTTGAAAGACTTTTAGAGAAATGTAGAGGACTTATTAAGAAGAAGACTCTTTATTTGAACTTGCTTTTTTCACTTGTTCAACTTTTTCTTCTTGCTTACAAATGAGAGAGGTGAGGAGATATTTATAGCCTCCCAAAGATATGTTACAAAGGATCTAGATTCTTCTAATATCACCTCCATAGTTCCTAGATATTTTTTTAATCTCTAGAAATTTCTACATAATATCTAAATATTTTTATCACAAATTATCTAGATGTTTCTATACTATTATCTAGATATTTAGCTTAAAGATTTCTCTAGAACACTTTAAGGAGGTGATCAACCTTCTAGAGTGTTTCTAGAAAACCTCTAGAATTTAGACCTAATTTTGGGTTTGGTCAAACTTAGAATAATTCCATCATAAACCCAAAATTAAGCTTGATCCAAAATCAAGTTTAATTTCAATAATCAATAGGGCAAGCTGCCCATCATAATATGTATTATAACACAAAAAACAAAATTTATAGTTAATATCTAGGTGTGATTTAGATAGAAATTACCCAACGGTAGAGGAGCAGACCTTTGTCGTCGCTCTACATGACGAGAGATGCACAAGAAAATCACTCGTAAATATCACATTGGGCTATACATGATAAGAAGAAACAAAAAAATAAAACATAAAAACAGTATCTAGTAGTTACAAAAGATCATTGTCCAGAATAGAAGCTTATGATGAACTCAAAATGCGTGGGTAGCTGCTGCTGGCTAAAGGTTGCTTGCTGCCCCGTTGTTGTCCTCGCGGGAGGCGATAAGCTCGGAAATACCTCTCTCCCGAATGATTGCTTTCAGCTTGAGGCCCCTTTTTGTTGCCAGTGAGCATGTCCCGAAAAGGAGATAGTAAGCGGCCTTAGAAGCCTATTATTGCGGATTTGAAACTACTCCGGAGAAGACATAGTTGTTGCGATCTCTCCATAAGACCCAACAGATAGTAGGGGAGCAAAACTCCACAGTTGTCTCATTACAGACTCAGTAGACATGTCAGAGCATATATCAAGGCATTGGTAAATAACTAGGGGTGGAAATTGGATATCAATTTTAAGGAGAAAAAATTTCCAAACTTGCTTGGCAAATGGACAGTTAAGAAATAGGTGGCCGTGTGTTTCCTGGTTGCTGATACAGAGGAAGCAAGAAGAGTCACCTGACCACCCTTTGATGGTGAGCCTATCCTTAACGTTCAGCTTGGTTAAGGATAGCAACCATAAGAAGAATCTGACCCTGCTAGGGAATGACTTTTTTCCAACGTTCAGCTTGGTTAAGGATAGCAACCATAAGAAGAATCTGACCCTGCTAGGGAATGACTTTTTTCCAAATGATCGAGCATTGAGGGCTACAAGTGCCACCATTTGAGGAGTAGTAGAAGGAATTGATTGAGAAAACCCCGGAGCAATTAAGTGGCCATGTGACTTCGTCTAGGTCTGAAGATGTACATAGGTTGACCGAGGCTAGCAGATGATTGAGAGCCTGAACTTGCAACTTTTCTTGCTCTCCTATAGGTCTCCTGAGAATCGGTCTCAAGTCCAATTATCTTCGTGGAATCTCCTTTGTGACTCGATGCTGGCTTGCTCAGTGAAAGCAAGGCCATGAGCCGAAGGGAATATGCTAGCAAGAGAATTGCTGCATTAATGACTTTGCTAACGACATTGCTGCATTAATGACTACGCATTTTCGGGATCAGCATCCTAATGATATAACAACAATCATGCATGCATGCATCAAATCAAGCTTGTCAACATTTCTCAATCGTTGATTACGTTAACATCATGCACTTGAATTATTTGTATTTAATGAAGCCCACTGGATTGTTTTAGGAGGGGTCACTTAATCGTTTAAACGCCTCCCTAACCCAGTGTAGTGTAGTTGGCCCTAAGTCATATAATGATTTGTAAGATTCTGGTGGAGGAGAAATTATATACCAAATAGTCTCTCTGTATCCGCAATTTCTTTTCTTTTTTTTTCTTTTTTTTTTTTTGCGCTGATCCAAAAATAGGTAACGCTTGATATATTAAATATCACGTGAACAAGACAACCAAATAGTTTTTCTCAGTGCTGGGCGTGAAAAGAATGGGATGTGTTGGGATCGATATAATCCTGATGCCCAATCAGGATGTTGATGGTCTGAAAATTTTAGTACCTAATTTCTCTGTAATCAATGTCACCGTGGCACTACAATTATTGAAATCAAATCACCTACGAAATCGACGGTGTTGGCATGATTTGCACCAGCATCTAACTGCCACCGCACGGCGAGTAACAGACTCCGGAGGCGACAGTGGTCACGTTGCAGTTGTGGCTCCACACCAGCAAACACGAAAAACTAACTGTTTTCCAGCTCCAGATACTTAACGCCTTCTCCAAAAATCTTAACAGGCACGCTTGAAAACTTTTATCTTCTACAATACGACGAGGTCTTTGGCTGGTACCAACCCCCGAGCCAAAGCCAGTAGCACGTATGTCTAGTAATTGGAGCAACGATCATATACCCTCAAAAAGTCCAATTGCAATACTAATATTTGTGAACTTGAACATAATGTACATGCCTATGCGTGAAACCATGCAGGGCATGCAGCATCGGGTCGTCGTGCAAGTCAATCAATTGATAGATTTCCAGCTCCCTTTGGTTCAGATTACCCAAACTCGAGTACAAATTCTATTGCAACGCTAACGCACTCTTTGGTTCAGATTGCCCCGCACCGTGCATGACGTATCGTTCTGATACAAACTAAACTCCCCAAATTACCCCCTAAGTCAAGTTCTTCTCACACCCAAGGATTCAAACCCTGGACAGCAGGCCCATCTTGGCCCGCCTTAGGTTAGTAAGCCTACATCGCACCCGTGTGCTTTGCCCACATCCATGCTTGAATCGGCACTCCATTTTCAAGCATCTTACTTTCATCCTTTTCTTCGAGCCTTGAGTTTGGGCATTCTGGGATTGATGCTAGCAAAGCCAGTTCGTTATAGACATCAGCCAGTAATAAAGCTACAATCTTTTCTTTATATATATATAATATATATATATATAAGAAAATGTTCAACTGCTGGCACGAAGGCCCAACACTTTCAACGGCTAAAACACCATAAAACATCAACACTTGGAAGAGGCTCGCAATGGAGTCGGTCCTCGCGCACTTCACATTGCTTTCTTCGAAAGTGCCATTACAATGAAGTTCATGGAATCTGGATTGTTCTCAATCATCACTTTTATGACTTTAACTGCATCCTGATAAGATATTATGGAAAAAATAATAATTAATTTGGATTATAGATGTCATAATCGGAGTCAGATAACTCTAGAATAAAAAAAAGGTTCAGAAAATTAAAGCCAAACTATCAAGAAACAGATAAAAGAACAGAGAATTGGGCTGACACTTTGATCTGCAAAATTCTACTTAACAAGTATGTCCTATCCTTTTACAAACAATCAGGAAAACATCTGGATCCTGAATAATCTCAGACTTCATCCTAAGATTGTTTTAAAGCTTGGACACTGCTGGTACTTATTTTTAAGTCTATATCATACAAACTCTTGTCAGGAGGCTAATGACTACAAATTAATCTTATTTTTGATGATCAAACCACCTCAAATATAACTATGCAAATAATTACATAATTGAGAAATATCTAATCCCTTCATAAAGTTATGATATTTCTTCTACTGTTGAGAAATGATTCATTTTGTGTTTACACTGTAAAAGATTAAGATTAAGATGTAGGATTTTAATTCCTAAACTAAAGATATGTGCATTATTTATAACCGCTCTCCGATATGTTAGGTAAAGGGACATGTTAAAAATGAACACAATGCCTTATATCAGATTTTCCATAGTAAACTAGAGGGTAAAAGTTGGTTATAAAGTAGAGCAAAAAGTGGTCCAAATAGAACGGAGAGGGGAGGGGATTTAGAAGTAATTCTCTTTTTTTAGGAAGAGATTGTTAGAGGATAAATAACTCAGTTTCATTTAAGACAGGTTAGGAGAAGGAGTGCCATATAGGTAAGTGCTATGTCAGTTATCATTTTTCTATTGCTAATCTTTTCGCCAATATTTTTCTATAATTATGAGTCTTTCGTGAGATAATAAGGGCATGTTTGGCTCTTTCTTAGAAACCATTGAAAGATGGTTTCCAAGAAAGAAACCAAAGAATCACATAGGTGGCACCCTCATTTCCTTTTTTAGCCCATTTACATCTTAACTTGTCGAAAAAGGGTTTCTAGTTTTTTAGGGCCTGTTGCACTATTTACATCGCAAGTGTGGGTCCCACATGTACTCTTATACTTCTTTCTTTCTTTTTTTTTAAATAAAACAAAAGAAAGAAAAGTGTTACAGGAAATCAATTTCCTATAGCACCGTTTTCCGATTTTTTGAGAACCAGATGTATATTGTGCAATGGGTCCCAAAAAATCAGAAACCCATTTCCATGAAGTTAAGATGGAAATGGGCTGAAAAAAAGGAAAAGTCTGTTACACCCACATGATTCTATGGTTTCCTTCTTAGAAACCGATTTTCAATGGTTTCTAGGAAAAACCAAACAGACCCGAAGAGGAATTTAGTTGCTCTGTTCTCTCTGAAGAAAAGAAAAGTTGTAAGGCAGAGACCCTAAGCACCCGAAGAGGAATTTAGTTGCTCTGTTCTCTCTGAAGAAAAGAAAAGTTGTAAGGCAGAGACCCTAAGCATAAATAAAGAAATACATGTAAGAAATTCAAAGGGTGTGTAGAACTTAATTTGTTACAATTAGTTATGCGGTGTAAAGCTTATCTAAGAACTATAGAACAAAAATTATTTTATGTTGTTACTGCTATTTTACTAGCTAGTACTACTAGTGATCATTTTGAATATGATTTGCACTCATTTCTCCCTGCTTACCTTTTCAATGAAGGATTATTGGCTCCATCCAAGGTCCATAACCCCAAGGAACCCAATCAATTGCTAATAAGACTATTGTTGTCTTATTGAATATTTTTTGCATTTCTTGCAAGCATCTGATATAGCAAAAAAGAAAAGAAAAGAAATCTTGCCGATGTGTATGCTTGTGTCAGCAATATCACATGCAAGAAAAAGATTTAACCTTCATCGAGGATGAATAGAAGTAGTACCCTTCTGATATAAATAGCAGAATTCTGCAAGATATCCCATAAAAACTTCTATTATACAGTTATCATCAAACTACTTTGCACTTACTCCTCGTCCCTACAATAGCAAACAACAAAGCCTATCCCAAAATTTTGGGGTCAGCTACATGTATCTTACTCTTCCATTCAGTTCTATTCCATTCAGTTCTGGTGAAGACCATCTTCCAATCAGTTCTGGTGAAGACTATCTCCTCCCCTAAGTAAATTATTATCGTATCCATTGTATATGACCAAACCATCTCAAACAATTCCCTCATTTTATCTCCCCAATATGAGTAACCTCCAACTGCCTAGGAATACAGTCAGTTTTATATATACCTTAGTGCATATCAACTAGTCCATCACAACATTCTCATATAGGTTGCGCTCATCTTTTGCACTTGGTTTTCTAATTGCACGACACTCTGATTCCAAAAAGCATTGCGGGTCTTATAGCTGACCTATAGAATTTTCCCTTAAACTTCAGAGGTATTCTATGATCACGTAGGACTGCAGAAGCACTCATCGACTTTTAACCATCTTGATTTGACCGATGAACCACATCATCCTTAACCTATTGATCCTGATAACGAAAAATGTTTACTCCTAGTTTTTTGTTGGCTGTCAATATGCATTGTGCACTCGTTCTTTTTTACAATTTATCTAACTAGCATCCCATTTAATTTTTTGCTTGTGTGGTCTATTTGTAGTTGTAACTGAAGCAGAAGCAGAAGCAGAAGAGGAGGAGGGAGGAGAGGGAGAGGAACCTGCAATAAGCTGCTAGGTGATGAAGGACCATGTGATATTGGTCGAGTCTTCGCCCCATCAAGTTGATAAAGTTCTCCTATAAAGCAAAATATAAAGTACTTATGTGAAGGAATTTAAAAGATGGAAACTTTATCCCGAAACACAGATAACAAGGTTCTTATGAGATCTGCAATAGTTGTACCATCAACACATGTGAAACAAATATAATTTTGATCCACGTCTGTAGAGGCCTGCCATACAAAAATCAAATAGTTATTACCAGCCAACATGCATGTAAGAAGGATGTGAACATAACTGACTCTGAATTTCTTGGATATTTTACATAGAACGCGGTGACAAGGGAGCAACTGATAAATATTTATTGCATGTCAATCTCGCAAGTGCTTGCTCAAAACTGCAGCTGCAGCAAACTAAATAGCTGCAACTGTAAGTACCTTCTGCAGATTGAAACTGCAATTGTAATTTTCTGCTAACCAAATAATAATAACTTGGAGTTACATCCATTTCATAATTTGTTATTTAAGGATGCATGCATTGTCCTATTAAGACTTCCTTACTAGGATACTGCATCTACAAACTCATGCCACCCCGTTAAACTTAGTATTAAAGGTGTATTTCACTTGACTGCACACAACTTCAGTCTTCATATCTGCTAGTAAGCAACACGTGTACACTGACAGGGAGGTAAGCACTACCCGTTCAACCAATAAACCCAATACAGCAAAATGGAAGGGTGGCGAAGGTGAAGAAAGAAGCAAAGCAAACCACAAATCACCACTTATTGATTCCTTAGGCCCCTCCGACAAATTACAGCGTTATAGTATAAACACACCAAAGAATATCATCATTATAAACACTAAAGTCCCACAAAACAATGTCAGATATGGGAGATGGGTGACATTTTTCTGAGGCATGTGTCTATGACCAGGTAGACAAGCCTATCTTTACTAATTCAGATGCATGACTGACATGCTTTTTCTAGCAAATTTCTGTGCTATCATAAAAACCGCTTTCATGGACGATGGGTATCGGGCATCTATTGCGAGAGGGTGATCTCAATGCTACATAAAATCACTTCCTATCCGTATTTTAGGAACTAAATCAGACTGTAAAAAACTACCTCAGTATCCCCAGCAATAGCTGCTACAGCATGAGCATCCTCCATTTCTCCATCTTTTTCAAGGAAGGCAGCCCGCTGAGAAGAAGAATGTTATGCAAAATATAGTTAATGATATAAATATTCAAGAAAAGAAAATTAACTCATCACAAGTCATAACAACCTCAGTAGGATCCATGCTGGCTGTAGTCTTAAAAAACCTGTCGAAGTATGATCCTTCAACTGAAAGGAATAAACAGAGTTATGGACTAGTAATCATTCTTTGGTGGCATAATGACTTCTGACAAAGGATATACATGATTAACATCTGCAGCAGAGGGACGCCAATGATTAACAGTTGAGCTTTTTAGCTGTTCATTGACTTCATAATTTTGGGCTATAGGTCCATATGTCTAGGCAGTGTTGTCAAGGTGCAAAGCAACGAGCGAAGGCCTTAACAAATCTGATGTAAAAGGCGAGGTACACACCATCATATGATTTTCCTAAAGATATTGAACATGAGGAAGATTTAAAACTAAAATGAATCAAATTAATTATAGTTTATGAAGATCACTAATACTAAATTTAAGGCAACTCTTTCATTTTAGAAATTTCTTTCTAGGTTAAGAAGCTATCATTCCGTATAAGTGGTTTCTCAACCCATGTCTAGAGAGAAATGCTGAAATGAGGAGAGAGAGAGAGAGAGAGAGAGAGAGAGAAGGCAAATCAGAGAAAATAAAGTGAAGTAGGGAATAGGAGAACCAAAAAAAGGAAGAAATCCACATAACAAAGGAAAAAAGGGAAGAAGTATCATAGTGAAAAAGGAATAAATAGGAAAAGAAAAAAAATTATGAGTAGGCTAATTCTTTATAATAATGATGATGAGTAAACTAATAGTGAGGTAGAAAAATAAAGAGAAGATGATAAGTAGAGAACAACAATCCTGATAGCTGTTGATGTCGTTGTATCTACAACAGTAGCTTGCGACTTCACAAAAATCAGTTTCAAGATATAATAGTAATAGCAACAATTGCATAAGGGGAAATAAAAGCAAGACAAGGGCAGAGTAATTAAGAACAAGGAGGAAAGAGGAGAAGAATGACAAAGTAGTGGCAAAAGAGAAGGACAAAGATAGAGTAGGAATTATGAAAGAATGTACATCAAAGCAGAACGACAAGGCATATTGAGGTGCATTGAGACACATGTAGCTGCACAGTGCACCCTACACTTCGTGTAGATCGCGGTTGACCTGAGGTAATCTACGTTTAGTTTGTGTCAGAGAAACGAATCCCTGACAAAGAAGGTCTAAGTTTACCTCTTCATCTGGACTTATCTAGCTAGGGAACTTAAGAGTTTTTATCCTTGTTTGCATACACTTAAAATGCACATAAGCAAAACAATATATTTACACGAGAAGTTAGAGTTTTTATCCTTGTTTGCATACACTTAAAATGCACATAAGCAAAACAATATATTTACACGAGAAGTTAACACCAAGTCATAGAGGGCTGACCGCGTAAAATGCACATAAGCAAAACAATATATTTACACGAGAAGTTAACACCAAGTCATAGAGGGCTGACCGCAGGACTAGAATTTCGTCAATAAACATTTTGAAGAATTTTTGTTGCATCGTAGGCAGTGTTTTAAACGTGATGCACCTTAGAGACTCAGGCACTTAGGTGAGGCTTGAGGCGCTCAGGCGAGGCCATCTTGTAACTTAGCACTTTGCATATTACCAGGCGATAAAGGTTACTAAAGAGATCGCCTTTTGGCGCCTCAAGAGCTCGCCTTGGCGCCTCAAGGGCTCGTCTAAGGCATGTGAGGCAAGGCACGAGGTGTTTTGTCTCTATTTTAAACTTTTGAGGGCTCAAAAAGTGGATGATAAAATAAAGTTTCTTTTTGTTATTGAATTTTGTGTTTCCTTTTTCATTGTTGATTTTTGCTATTTGTTGTTGAAATGTACTTTACTACCTATGTCATTTTAAGGACATGCCACTATTTGAACCTTAAAGTTCAAAGTTTGCTGCTTAATTATGTGTTAAGTGTTACTAGTTAATATTACTATTTAATATTTGTCACTTACTACTTCATATAGATGGTTTATTTATTAGATTTTTGACTTTAAAAATTTGAGTGTCATTAATTTGTCATATTGCTATTTATGCTACTTGCATATTAGTTGTAATGTTTATGAATTTTTGGGTGTCATTAATTTGTCATATTGCTATTTATGCTACTTGCATATTAGTTGTAATGTTTATGAATTTTTGGAATATTTAGCGCCTTGGTTCACTCAAGCGATCGCTTTTTTGGCGCCTCTCGCCTCAGACAACATAGGACCTAATTGCCTTGACCTCGCCTTTTGGTTTTAAAATACTGATCGTAAGCAACCCAGTTCTCGTGGGGGAAATGTCCATATGGTTATAATAGTGATGATAATAACAATATGTGATAAGCCAGATAAATAAATAGAATTCAATGAACGAAATTTGAGCAGAATGATCAAGCACAAGTGGTGATATACCGAATGGTGGATGACCCTCTAGTTTTTGGAAAAGTAACTGTTTGACAAAAAAATTATCTTCTAGATAAGAAAGCCAATTAAAACTGAAACATCATTTGAGATGCTTAGAATGGCATGCTCATATACAAAACTTTTTCGTTTATTTTCCCAAATATAGTTCGGAATATTATCATTTCTCATAAAGAAAGAAATTATTTGGAGAAAGAGCTTGAATTCAGCAGCTAAGGACAACTCTCAAAACAGCTTTCTACATTGCATGGTTGAAAAATAGATGTCTTCGACTCTTGATCTTTATTTTGAGGAGATATATTTGGATGGACAATTTAAGGAACCTTCAGACTTACCATAGTTCAAAAACTAAAAAATATTTCGGACAACCAAGCTGAAGCCAAATGTGGTTTGGTTAGATCTGATAAAGATGTGAGCCCAATACAGCTCCCTAATATTGTTCTACAAAAACTTCTAGGACGTCATCTACAAGTCAAAAATTGGACTACAAAAACTTCTAGGACGTCATCTACAAGTCAAAAATTGGCCTCCAGATGGATATTTAACTATTAAAAAAATGATAAGTTTCCTGTGTGGACAGAATCCTTCTGATAGGTGACTATGTTCCAATGCGTCACTTTAACAGTTGCCAACATATTAGCTAATGTGTTGGAAAATATGTGCTCGCTTTAATTATAGAAGATATTTCAGTGTTTGTTAATTCTACAAAAGTGTGCTCACTGAAGCATCAAACAAAACGCAAAAAATGCTCTCATTGGCATGCTGTAATGGTTGTCCTGTCAAGAGCTTTCCTATCAAATACTTAGTTCTAGAAATGACGCCTACCAACCTCAAATTACAAAAAGGGCCCAAAATCCTCTAATAGAAAGAGTGGAGAAGATGATAGGCAGTTAAAAAGAGGAGTATTCTTCCTCGTGAAAGAAACATTTTACTTAGTCTAATTTGATTACCATCATAATGACATTTTCCTTTTCTCCTCCAAGATGCGTAAATGGGTGGAAGAACTTTGGTGACAAGAAGCTTCTCATGAGCTTGTTGATTGATAGAAGTAGGAGGCAATTTCTTCGAAAGGAGATCTCTGAAGAAAAGAGGAAAGCCTCTAGTCAAAGGGGAGGTGTCTGTAAGTTTGATCCAGGTCATGTATCTTAAACATAGGGAATTTTAACTATTCTGGAGGGAAAACTACATCAATCTAGTTAAGTGCAACAATAAGAGGCACAGAACTACAAGCCATAGAAACTTGAAAATCTGCAACAATTCTTAGGTTCTTGAAAGGACAAATTTTCAAAATAGACCCTTTTTAGAAAATAATTATCATTTTCAACCTAGTTGCAACTTATTTATCCAATTCGACCTAGTTTCAACTAGGTCAGCAACGTGAGCTGAAACTGTTGGATAAATAACAACAAATCAAATACCAGAATTGAACAAACTAAAATAATTAATTATTAAAAGTTAGTTTTCTCACATTCTCAGGAACGTGAGAAATTCTTAAGGCTCTTTCTTTTTCTTCATAACATGTCCTTTTTTCCCTTATAAAAAGAAACCATGTGAGGAGATAAAATATACACAAACTAGAAAATCATCCTTTCTCTTCTTCCTCCATCAAATTTTTGGTACAGTTCTCTGACTGTTTATTCAAGGGTCATCATCCCCAACGCGGACGTGCACACTAGGGTTCCGATAGAGAAGAGATCGTACCGCTAAGGAGTATTTCGCCTTGGCTGATCGTACAAGATAGTCAGATATCTCTTTAGGGAAGTGGTTCGCCACGCTTTCCCTAGGCCGATAAAATTGTTCATTTAATTTTTCTAATAAATATCAATAATTGTGATTTCTAGTCCAGCAATCTAAAGAGGTATCTTGATCATTCCAAATTACTGTTCATTCATAAATTAATTTTATTCGAATTCACTATTCATTATAAATATTGTTTATTCGTGCAATTATTTTAGACACAAAAATCACTGTTCATTAATGCAATCACTCTTTGAGTTACTATTCATTAGAGCAAATTGCTTCTATCCAAATTTACTGTTTACCCCCACGAGGTTTTAGAATTACTGTTTATTTTGAGGTTATTTTTTATTCTAAAATTACTGTCGATTAGAGTTCTATCCAAATCTACTGTTTATTTGAAATTACTATTCATCCACATAAGGTTTGCTTTCATATCGAATTACTGATCATTTTCTAGGTTATTGTTTATTCAAAAAATTAGTTTATTCGAAATTATTGTTCGTTAGGATTCTATCCGAATTTACTGTTCGTTTGAAATCATTGTTCATTCCCATAAGGTTTACTTTCATATCGAATTACTGCTCATTTGATGTTACTGTTTATTCGTAAAAATTTGTTTATTCGAATTTACTCTTTAATTCGCAGAAAGCACTGTTCATTCATATAATTACTATTCATTCAAGTTTTGCAGTCGTATAATTTAGTGTTCATTTGTGAAAGTTACTGTTTGCTTAGCAAACTTTAGATACATAATATTTGTTTATTGCTTTTATTAACATCTTTAAGTAAAAAGGATGAAGATTGTAAAGTTTGTTAGCAACTTTAGAATTGGCATTAATGATATTATCATTCTCTACAGATTATTTATTTTTCATTGGACCTTAGTTTTTGATCTTATAAAAATGTCTCCCTAAGGATGAAGTTTTAAGTGCTAAACCAGAAAAATTTAAAGAGTTAAATTTTAAAA